TTGCCTTAGTCCAGACGTACTGACCGGGCCTCTGCATTCTACTTCTGTGGCCTTAATTATCTTATTCATAGCTAGGCAAAAATAGGGTGGCTGAGATTGTACATCCAGTTATAATACCCTTTTCCAATTTATGCTATGCAGTATTCTCCGACACCGTTCACATTTGAAAAATATATATTTGCTTACATACTGTCTACTGGAAATACAAACCTGAATTTACTTTATAACATGGAAGACTTCAAGCTTGTACGAAAATATAAGAATCTATTGATCAAGTAAGGAAAGGATTTATTATCGAACTGTTTTTAAAATTGTTCCATCGTTCTGATATTTTGAAATCATTTTTGATTTGCTTTGTAACGTGGAGGACTTCAAGCTTGTATGAAGATATAAGAACCTATTGATCTCTGCGTATTCCTATATCAACGGAAGGGATTTCTTGAACTGTTTATATAAAATAGTTCAATCGAATTTTTTAATATTTGGAAACCATCTTCGAATACGTTTTCACAACATCGCCCACATGACGACGACGTGATCATATTTAAACGGAGCGCTGATCTTATATAAAAATTTCAGTTATCTGTTTGGATTAGCTCTTATGTCCATCGTCTTTTCATGTTGAATTTTTATATGTTCTAATGTTAATTATGTTTAAATGAAAATGTCCTGAAGATGGTCTAAAATAGACTGAAACGTCCGACGTTGACTTTATATTAACATTAATACAGCATAATTGCATATTAAGATTTTTGTTTGTTTTTTTTCTGTATATTTTTCTTCATATATATATATATATATATATATATATATATATATATATATATATGTGTGTGTGTGTGTGTGTGTATGTATGTAACGGAAATCTTGGTAATCCGTATAGATAATCCCAAGTAGGATGAAATCTGGAGAGCTCAATGTTAAGTCAGAGCGAATAATTTAATTTAAAGAAAAAAGTGGTCTGTTTTTCTTTAAATTAAATTATATATTTTAATGAATATCAAACACTTAAAATATCGTAGGTAATAAGCTGTATTTCATGAAAGGTATAAAAATAGCCTTTAATATTTCAGACCTGCAAACCAAACCAGGTCTGAAAGATTGAAGGCTATTTTTATAGCTGTCATCAAATAAAGCTTATTACCTACGGTATTTTAAGTGTTTGATATTCATTAATTAATAATTTTGCTCTGTCATTGACAGAGCTCTCCTTGGATCTTTATTCTCTTGGAAATTCCATACGCATTACAAATTTATTACATATCTTTTTTCTCTCTCTCACTCTCATATATTTAGTGGAACTTCGATATGCGAGTTTAATTCGTTGCATGACCGAATTCGTAAGTCGAGTTATTCGTATGTCGAAGCTAATTTTCTCCTTTAACATAATCAAATATCATTAATCCGTTCCAAACCCCAATAAAAGACCTTCTGTTTTCTGATACTGTTATATGCTGTACCTATGAACACTAATGGGTGTGTAGCAATCCTCATAAATACGTTGAACACTATTGTAAGCGGGGGTAATATGCTGTCTAAGTAGTCCACCATTAGCAGTGGTTTACCTACTTCATGCCGCTGGCGAGTATTGTATTTTGTTGATGTTATAAAGATTACCATTTCATTTTCAACCTCCGTTTTGGTTATTCATCATTGAGTAACCCTTTCTAGGTTACAACATATACATACTTTTAAATGTATTTTACTATTGTATAAATAAAATAGGGTACATGTATGAATGTAGTAGTATTAAATAGTGCACCAAAATGATAAAATATGCTTGCTTCCCTCTTACATCTAAGCGGCAGCGCTGAGTAACGGTAAATTAAACTTGAGGTGAGTGGCAGATGTCCCCGTGTGGGTCTTGTAAGAGACAGATGGCGGAGTTTTTTTGTTGGCTCATGAAGCTTATCATTACCAATTGGTACAATTTCTTGTTATTTTTGTATTTTACTTTAAATTAATTGCTAAATATTATTTTAATTGATACGAATGTTTTTTGTCACTTAGCGATAAACCTAAAATTTGGTACATTTTCATTTTTTACTTAACACGTAATCTTCGTCGCTGATATTTCAAGGTCATCGGTAACGTTTTCATCTTCATTAAATTTCTGTTTTTTTTTTTTTCGGAATACTTTCTTGACTTTGAACTGAAGGTCGTTTCACTAAAAACCTATGCATGTTTGTTTGTATCTTCTTCCTCTTCAGAATTTTTCTGAAATGCGTTAAGCAAGTGTCATTACACAGCGACAATGCAAGGCTAGTTGACACTTTTTCAGATTTTCTTTTCTATAAAGACCACAAAAACGTCCCGCATCCCCCAAATTTTCTATCTCCTTTGTTGAGATCGCCACCTTCGCACTACTAACAATTTCCTCCAAAAATTCTGTGTGTTGCATCTCCTGTAGGCCATTTACCTGGTCCGTAGAAAGCTCCTGTGTGCTCCTCAAGAAGTTCGTTCACATCTTCATTCACCTCAAAGCCCATAGTCTTTCCGAGGCCAACAATCTCCTCTATCACTTGCGCCTCCTGTTCGAAAACTTTCCCTTTCAGACACAGCTTCAGGCCACAGCTTCCTGCAAGCAGAGTTCAAAGACCTTCTTGTTACTTCCTGTCAAGTCATATCAATAAATTCGAGGTTCGATAGGTGAGCAGGAGCATGGTCAAGGATGAGAAGGGCTTGCAGGCAGGTGTAAGTCTCTTGGAGAAGCTTTTTAGTGGAATGACCAAATACCAGGTTTATCCTGTTGCAGACCCGGTAGCATGCAGTGCTGGTTTATTAAAAGGTGGCCTTGAGCCAGACACTACTTATGACTACCGAACCCACAAACAAAGTAAGAATATTAAATGAGTGATCTTTAGTGAGGAAAAAGGGGTCATTTAACACATGCACAAAAATAGTAAAATATAGATAGCCAGGATTAAACAACAAAATGAGTCTGGTGGAAAACGTATATGAAATTTTATTTGGATAACAAATAATCTTGTCTCAACAGTGGAGACCATCAGAAGAGATAAGGTATGTTTTTAGCCTGTAGGCAGTTAGTATTAAGTAGTAATTAATAGAATTCGTCATAGCACTTTTGTAAGAAATAATGCCTCGTCATAATACGAACAACTAATTCGAACTGTCCTCCGCTTCTTACTAGAGAAACGGAGAGAATCTACGATACGGCTGGCACCACACTTTTAAGGCTGATTCCTTGTCCTTCAGCGAACGACTCGTTCTATTTCCCTACGTTCACTATTAGGGAACGCAGAATTTTCCTCAATGAAGATTGATGAACTTTTCATACACCTCTTTTGAATTCTAACCTTTACGAACCAGTTCCAAAAAAAAAAAAGATAACATTATACACACATTATTAAACCTCGCAGTGAGTACTTTTCCTATTTGTGTACGCATACACCTTTCGTACAAAAAGACACTATTCCAGAACTTTCATTCTGAAGAAACTTTTCCCGCCTTAGCCATCTTGGTTTTTTCGTTTTGGCGCGGAACTTTAAAATTCTATTAATTACTACTTAATACTAACTACCTACAGGCTAAAAACATACCTTACCTCTTCTGATGGTCTCCACTGTTGAGACAAGATTATTTGTTATCCAAATAAAATTTCATATACGTTTTCCACCAGACTCATTTTGTTGTTTAATCCTGGCTATCTATATTTTACTATTTTTGTGCATGTGTTAAATGACCCCTTTTCCTCACTAAAGATCACTCATTGAATATTCTTACTTTGTTTGTGGATGCGGTAGTCATAAGTAGTGTCTGGCTCAAGGCCACCTTTTAATAAACCAGCACTGCATGCTACCGGGTCTGCAACAGGAATCCAATCGACAAAGAATTGCCTCGTCACCCACACCTTTGAGTTTCCTCTCCACATAATCTGCAGTTTTTAATTTAAAATTTTAATAATCTTAAAGGCTCGGGGATTATCAGAATGGTAGACGAGAAGAGGTTTAATCACCGTCCGCATTTGCGCACAATGTGAAGATTAACCTATCTTTCTGTCATATTCTTTTCTCCTGATGTTATATATCCTCTTTAGCATTTTCCAAAATAACTGTCTCGTCACAGTTGAAGACTTGTTAGGGGACGTATCCTTCTGCCTCAATCAATTCAGCGAGAGTTTTTACGTATTCTTCTTCTGCCTTCTTATAAGAACACGCTGCCTCACGACACAGTGGATGCCAGACCTCTGTCTAAACTTATCTAACCAGCCACCACTGGCTTTAAATGAATCTTGTGATTCTAAGTCTGTTGAAGTGCCTGGTGTCTGCTTCAGCAAGTCACTGTAAATCACTCGTGCCTTCTCACAAATAATTGCCTGTCACGTTATCCCCTGCAGCTTTTCCATCACTTCGTGAAGGGGAGTCCGAAGATTTGAAAGAATCGTAACGACAATGGCAGGCGTTATTGTTTTCAGTGTATCCTGTTTTGTCAAATAAACAATACGTACTCCGTGTTCATGTTTTGCAATGATTTCACGTTTCATTTCAAGTGAAATCCTTTGCTTCTTCATAGCACTGTCCTTTGGATTTAGTTTCTTCGGGGTCATGGTTGAGTTACAAAGAAATCTGGCAATATAACTGCAGAAATCGAAATATGAGCTAAACACAACGCAGATTACAAAGCGCCTCGGCCGTACTCGACGAGATAAACAATGAAACTAACCGCCTGGGTCTCATTCTTGGCGCTAGATGCTGAGAGAGCTTGCTTGTCTTCTGAAAGCTTCGTAGATGGCTGGGCACGATATTCGAAATCAAAACTCGCTGGCGAGATCGACCCGTACGTCTTGCAAAATTTGAAGCAAAAATAATTTTTTCTACTCGTAACTTAGAACACTCGTATGTCGAGATTCCACAGTGTGTATATATTAGTTTATTTTCTCTCTCTCACACACTATATATATATATATATATATATATATATGAGAGAGAGACTGAGATAGAGTAAAGCTCCTAAATCTAGAGAGAGAGAGAAAAGCTCATTTAATCTTCTCTCCCTATATATATATATATATATATATATATATATATATGTGAATGAGAGAGAGAGAATGAGAGAATGAGAAAATGAGAGAGAATGAGAATGAGAAAATGAGAGAGAGAATGAGAGAATGAGAAAATGAGAGAGAAATGAATGAGAATGAGAAAATGAGAGAGAATGAGAAAATGAGAGAGAGAGAATGAGAATGAGAAAATGAGAGAATGAGAGAATGAGAGAATGAGATGAGAGAATGAGAGAATGAGAAATGAGAGAGAATGAGAAAATGAGAATGAGAGAATGAGAGAATGAAAATGAGAAAATGAGAAATGAGAATGAAAATGAGAATGAGAAAATGAGAATGAGAAAATGAGAATGAGAAAATGAGAATGAGAAAATGAGAATGAGAAAATGAGAATGAGAAAATGAGAATGAGAAAATGAGAAAATGAGAATGAGAAAATGAGAGAATGAGAGAATGAGAGAATGAGAGAATGAGAAAATGAGAGAATGAGAAAATGAGAGAATGAGAAAATGAGAGAATGAGAGAATGAGAAAATGAGAGAATGAGAAAATGAGAGAATGAGAGAATGAGAAAATGAGAGAATGAGAGAATGAGAATGAGAGAATGAGAAAATGAGAGAATGAGAGAATGAGAGAATGAGAGAATGAGAAAGAGAGAATGAGAAAGAGAGAATGAGAAAGAGAGAATGAGAAAGAGAGAATGAGAAAGAGAGAGAGAGAAATGAGAGAGAGAGAGAGAATGAGAAAGAGAGAGAGAATGAGAAAGAGAGAGAATGAGAAAGAGAGAAATGAGAAAGAGAGAATGAGAAAGAGAGAGAATGAGAAAGAGAGAGAATGAGAAAGAGAGAGAATGAGAAAGAGAGAGAATGAGAAAGAGAGAGAATGAGAAAGAGAGAGAATGAGAAAGAGAGAGAATGAGAAAGAGAGAGAATGAGAAAGAGAGAGAGAGAATGAGAAAGAGAGAGAGAGAAGGAAAGAGAGAGAGAATGAGAAAGAGAGAGAGAGAAGGAAAGAGAGAGAGAAGGAAAGAGAGAGAGAAAGAAAGAGAGAGAGAAGGAAAGAGAGAGAGAGAGAGAGAAGGAAAGAGAGAGAGAAGGAAAGAGAGAGAGAAAAACTCACTATTTCAGTCTCTCCTCCTCTCTCTGAATACGTGCGTATAACCGTATGTGGTCATGGTTGTTGACCAATCTGGGAGAATTTAATGTGACGATTATATTTATATTTTTTATTTCATATAGACAGTTTTTCTTTTCTTTACTTTCAAGTGTTATAGCTAAAACCTAAGCAAATTCAATTTAGAAGCATATCTCCACGCTTCTGCTCTATTTAACTGTATCAGGGCTGCAGACAACCTTCCTTCCAGGCTAATTCGGAGATTGAATGGGCAAATACAGTTAGAACATATAATGTAAGAGATAAATGCAACATTTCTTGAAAGCAAAATCTGATTGTAAAATAAAATAAAAATCGTACACATATACAAAATGATAGATAGTTAGGCTACACTAAATCTATTATCACTGATGACGTAATTCTCCTACAAGCTGATTGTCACGAAGTCACATAGAGAAACTATTGACATTATTTTTAAAAATACATATAATTCATCTCTACCCACTTGAAAAATTAAACCTAAAATATTAAGAAAATTACTTTTAAACTGTACAACTGAAGTCCCATTCACAAAAATAACGTATATGTGAAAGGCAATGGTGTTTCTATGGGTTCCGTTCTGGGTCCAACCTTCAGCATTATCTACATGGCCAACTTAGAAAATAATATATTTAGCACCACTAAGAAACACTTCATAAGATAGGTAGATGTTATCCTTACTTTAGTTAAAAGCATAGAAATAATGGAACTGAAAAAAGTCTTTAAAAACCCCTTCGTCCTCAAGTTCAGATACGAACTTAAAGATAACAAAATCCCTTTCCTTGACATTTTAATAAACACAAATAACACATTTACTACCTCACCATATAAAAAAACACACAACTATTCACCGCTTAACAAAACCTCTATGATTTATGTATTTTTGTATATATTTATGAAAACTCTGGCACTCAACTATAAGAGTGAATGTCCAGATTACTACAAAATAGCACTTATATAGAATTTAATTAACTGAACACAAATTCATCCACAAAAAAGATTTTCTACACTGAACAAATAAAAAAAAATAAATAAATAAATAAGCAGACTATAATAATAATGTCTTCCCAAACCATATTGTATATGATCAAATAAGACTATTTATAAAAAACCTCAACACAGGTCAAATACATGGTACTCCCTCAAAAGACCCTAAATATATAAAACTCTTATAATGTAACCAGATGCACGCTAACTACAAACAGGATGAGAAAATAAAAAAAAAACGTGTTCGAAATATTTAGATTTCAACATTATCTGACATTAAAGCATATAATAATCTACAATTTCTTAAAGAAATCAGTCTGTATTCCAAAATATAACTTGAACAAAACTAAAACACACATATCACCGCCTCGAGTAATTATGTCCACACAAATATATATATATATATATTGGTATAATCTACCACGTATTCAATTATGAAAGCAGAATAGCATATATCTTATTTTTATTACTTCAAAGTTCCCAAGAAAATTAAATTTCGACGCTAAATGACCCATATGGAGTTGATATACCGTAAAAAACCCAGAAAAAAAAAGCAGAAAAGAAAAGAGAAAAAGAAGAAAGAAAGAAAGAAAAAAGAAAAGAAAGAAAGAAAAAAAGAAAGAAAAGAAAGAAAGAAAAGAAAGAAAAGAAAAGAAAAAAAGAAAGAAAGAAAAGAAAAAAGAAAAAAAAGAAAAAAAAAAAAAAAAAATAAAGAAGAAAAAAAAAAAAAAAAAATAAAAAAAAAAAAAAAAAAAAAAAAAAAAAAAAAAAAAAAAATAAACAAAAAAAAAAAAAAAAAAAAAAAAAAGCCGAAGAAAAAAAGAAAAAAAAAAACAAGAAAAAAAAGAAAAGAAAAAAAAAGAAAAAAGCCGAAAAAAAAGAAAGAAAAAAAAAGAAAGAAAAAAAAAAAAAAAGAAAAAAAAAAAAAAAGAAAAGAAAAAGAAAAGAAAAAAGCAGAAAAAGAAAAAAAAAAATAAACAGCCGAAAAAAAGAAAAGAAAAGAAAATAAAGAAAAAAGAAAAGAAAAAGAAAAATAAACAGCCGAAAAAGAAAAAAAAAGAAAAAAAAAGAAAAGAAAAAAAGCCGAAGAAAAAAGAAAAGAAAGAAAATAAACAGAAAAAAAAAGAGAAAAGAAAAAGAAACAGCCGAAAAAAGAAAAAGAAAAAGAAAATAAAAAAGCCGAAAAAAGAAAAAAGAAAAAAGAAAAAGAAAGAGCCGAAAAAAAAAAGAAAAGAAAAAAAACAGCCGAAAAAGAAAAAGAAAAGCAAAAACAGCCGAAAAAAAATAAAAAAAATAAACAGCCGAAAAAAAAAAAAAAAAAAAAAAAAAAAGAAAAGAAAAGAAAAAAAAACAGCCGAAAAAGAAAATAAACAGCCAAAAGAAAAGAAAATAAACAGCCGAAAAAAGAAAAGAAAAGAAAATAAACAGCCGAAAAAAGAAAAGAAAAGAAAATAAACAGCCGAAAAAAGAAAAGAAAAGAAAATAAACAGCCGAAAAAAGAAAAGAAAAGAAAATAAACAGCCGAAAAAAAAAAAAGAAAATAAACAATAAAAAAAAGAAAAGAAAGAAAATAAACAGCCGAAAAAAAAAAAAAAATAAACAAAGAAAAAAAGAAAAAGAAAAAAATAAACAGCCGAAAAAAAAAAAAGAAAATAAACAGCCGAAAAAAAAGAAAGAAAAATAAACAGCCGAAAAAAAAAAGAAAAATAAAATAAACAGCCGAAAAAAGAAAAGAAAAGAAAATAAACAGCCGAAAAAAGAAAAGAAAAGAAAAAAAGAAAAGAAAATAAAAAGCCGAAAAAAAAAAAAATAAACAGCCGAAAAAAGAAAAGAAAAGAAAATAAACAGCCGAAAAAAGAAAAGAAAATAAACAGCCGAAAAAAGAAAAGAAAATAAACAGCCGAAAAAAGAAAAGAAAATAAACAGCCGAAAAAAGAAAAGAAAATAAACAGCAGAAAAAAGAAAAGAAAATAAACAGCAGAAAAAAGAAAAGAAAATAAACAGCTGAAAAAAAGAAAAAAAATAAACAGCCTGAAAAAAAGAAATAAACAAAAAAAAAGAAAAAAATAAAAACTGAAAAAAAAAGAAAATAAACAGCAGAAAAAAAAAAAAAAAATAAACAGCAAAAAAAAAGAAAAAAAAAATAAAAAGCAAAAAAAACAGAAAAGAAAAATAAAAAGCTGAAAAAAAAAAATAAAAAAAAAAAAGAAAAGAAAATAAACAGCTGAAAAAAGATAAATAAAAAGCTGAAAAAAGATAAATAAAAAGCTGAAAAAAGATAAATAAAAAACTGAAAAAGAGAAATAAAAACAGAAAAATAAAAAACTGAAAAAAAAAGAAATAAAAAACGGAAATAAAAAATAAAAAGCGGAAATAAAAGAAATTAAAAACAGAAATAAAAGAAATAAAAAACGGAAAAAAAGAAATAAAACAGAAAAAAAAGGAAATAAAACAGAAAAAAAAAATAAAACAGAAAAAAAGAAATAAAACAGAAAAAAAAGAAATAAAACAGAAAAAAAAAGAAATAAAACAGAAAAAAAAGAAATAAAACAGAAAAAAAAAAAAAAAACAAAAAAAAAAAAATAAAACAGAAAAAAAAAGAAATAAAACAGAAAAAAAAGAAATAAAACAGAAAAAAAGAAAAAAAAACAAATAATAAAAAAAAAAACAAATAAAAAAACAAAAAACAGAAATAAAAACAGAAAAAACAGAAATAAAAAACGGAAATAATAAAACCAGAAATTAAAAAAAAAACAGAAAAAGAAATAAAAAACAGACCCCCCCAGTAAAAAACAAAAATAATAATAAAAAACAATCAAACCTGAGGTTCAGTTAAAATCTAGTAATAAAAAACAAGTTGAAAACATTTACACTAACCCAGAACTTCATTTTCCTCAAGCCAACTAGAATTATTAATTGATTTTTAAGGCTTATCAAACATTTTTCTTTAGCTTCTGAGAATTTTTTTGTGTGGGGGTTAATAATGAATTTCTTATAAATTTCTACTAATTAACCCATAGCTGAGGGGAAAAGAATAAATATAAATATAACACACCTTAAAACTCTCTCTCTCTTTTATATTTATATATATATATATATATATATATATATATATATATATATATATATATATATATATATATATATATATCTGTGATTGGCTTTGAAGAGCAAAGATCAATAACCAGTGAACAATTTGTTGTCTCTTTTTTTTATTCACCGCTTAACGGTGAGTATTTTTTTGTATTCCTCTATGATTTATGTATTTTTGTATATATTTATGAAATGTCTGTTTTTGAAGCCCTACCTAAAACGTGGTATCCCGTTTAAAAACACTTATATTAGAATATATATTCAAAAGAGGTGCTTCAAATACCGTCAAGAAGCTGAAACTGGAATAAATCGTTTGATAAAAAACTTTGGCAGATCAAAGGGTTGGCAACAAAATCTCGTCTCCGAACAAGAAGCTGGCGAGAAAACGTCAAGAGGTGAAAGCAAATAAAACATATTTTTACAACAGCCTTCGTCTTAAAAGCAGAGGTTATAAATGAAAACATCATAAATGCCGTCGGAATAATCTTTTGAAAAAGGAGGCAGGCTATTAGCCTAGAGATAAAATGAACACCTACAGAAAATATACGACTTCGGGTTAAATTACTACTATTGCTGGGTGAGGGCATGTGAACACCTCATTTAAATGGTAGGGTCCGTAAAGCGCCCACTGAACCTATGGGCAAACCTTAGCCTGTGTGCACCTGGGAGCTGTTCCACACGTTCCCTGCAACGTATGTGGAAGAGCGCGAAACAATGGTGCAAGACCCTCATTACTTGGTTTACTGTGGCGTTAACAGGAAATAGATTTTACGGATTGGAATTGCTATCCTCGAGGACAACCGGCTTTGAATTCAATTATCTTCTCGAGTGGTTAGCATGCCCAGTTCGTCATGCCGTTTTACCTATAGCTGTAAGTTGGCGAGATGGAGTCATATCTTTCCCACGGTGAATCCAACGGCTTTAGTATGAATATGAACTCACCTAGCCGGTACTATTTTTGGTGCAGATAACCGATGCACGCAAGTCTATATATATATATATATATATATATATATATATATATATATATATGCAAGCCGCGAAAACGGTGCAATGGCTGCCTAAAAGACACTTAAAATGCTGAGCATCAACATAAGATCTTGAATCAGATGAGCCATCGAATTAAACACATGAATTGGATAGGTTGAATTGAAAGGAGCTGGTAAATATATGGACGACTTTAATCCACTCCCTGGGAAAGAAACATTTCGTGTTTGCTTTTCAAAAAGCAGACCTCATTAGCCATAAACAACGTCATAGAAAATCCACCGTCTGACAAAGCATCCAGCTTGATTTCTCTTGCAGTCACAGCAATAAAGTGTGCGGATTAGCCAATAGACACACTCGTCATTATGCAGGAAAACTGATATGCAGTAAAAGTTATGTGATCTGCAAGTCCATCGCAGGTTTAATGGGTCACATGAGACGTCATCAGCGACAAGATATTAGGACATACGCATGTTCTCAACATGGACCGAGTCTGGGAAATTGTTGTTCAAGGTCACAAGTTAATTCCCACCACACACGAGGGTGCGACGGATAAATTGTCGCCATTTTATATTTTTAATTTCGTGCAATGTCCGTTGTTTGTTTTTATTTTGTCGACTGCGTAGTACAATAGGGACAGTTGGGCACCTCCTGCGAGAAAATAAGCCCTATGACACAATTCACTCCACGTGAAATTTGGAAATGGCACGCTGTGCTGCTTAGCATTCGTACCGGAAGCTCCAATATGAACATTTCAGAGAGTTTGGGTGTAAATCTGAGGATAGTGCAGAGGATTCGGAAAGAGTTGGATGAGCCTAATGGTGATTACGAAGGTGTTTGGAGTGATCACTAGTGATAGCAACGTTATACCTCCATTCATCTTCCCACATGACTTCAGGCTGATCACGGAGGTGTACATCAAGTGCCTTGAGGAGGTAGTGTGCCCTGGGTCAAGAGGGTGGTTGCTGGAAGATTTTAAGTCTGGCAACCGGATTCTGTACCATATCACACTTGCAGGAGAACCCACTTCGCGCATGAGTAAAAGCTATGATTCAGTATTGATTTTCAAGGTAGGTACGTGCCTGATATATTTAACTAGGCAAGGAAGTAGATCTAAGTATCATAAAAATGCCACAAATATTTGGCATACAGTGAGGATCAAACTCATTTTTTTCTGCGATATATCACCCAATACAAAACACGATTGTCACTCGAGGTAGAAATTTTAACTCCGAACGCTGAATGACGTATATGCGATGAAAGGCAAGAGAAGGTGTTAGAATGAGAAGATAATGTGGAGAAGAAAAAAATGACGACTGTCCATTGACTTGCTACCATGATTGAAATCCTCATGGAAACAAAGAAGCGGGTGTCTATTCCACATAGTGGTAGTTGTTGAAAAAAACAAAACAAAAAAAAACATTTCTTAAATGTGGAATACGGAGGAAATGAGAATGATTCGATTCAGTGGATGTGACATGGCCTGTCATAGCTGTGAAGATTTAATTAGTAGAACCAATGAGTGTATCTCATCTGAACATTTGCCATGGAAACAGCGACAGATGAGCACCAGACTTGCAACGTTACGCATGTGAGAACGAGGCTACTCGAGAGCTTGGTAACCATTACACGTAAACAAAGTCTGTGTCAGCCTTTGTCAGCCTATCTACCTGCAGGTCTGTCTGTCTATCTATCTATCCTCCACTCTCTAGAAATAGATCGGAACGTAAGTTAGAAAATATGTGGTGAAAAGAACAAACTTTTAAAAAATTGAAGACAAACAAACAAAAAAAAAAAAAAAAAACGATGTAAAAGGTAAAATGAAAAAAAAAAAAAAGAATGGATTAAACAGGCTGAAAAAAAAAAGATGAAAAACAAAATGGAGGCAACTTCGCGTATTGAATAGCAGACGACAAAAACGTTGAAAGAAATAGAGAGAAATATAAGAGCAGAAAGCTAATGAAAGACAAGCCCTCGTGTGGAAGATACTGAGAAAGCCGACATACCCAAAGGGGAGATAATAAAAGACATTTTTGCGCAATTAGCGTCCATTGGAGAAGTTAATGAGACGCGGAAATGTCGTGTCGGAAGGGAACTTTGGATGAAATTGTATTAAAGCGGATTTTATTGAGCTGCAAACGAAGGAAGTAAATCTTAAAGAGAGATAAACAGCGACTATTGGAAATGTTATCTCTTCGGCGTCGGCCAAATAAACAATAGAATCAACTTGATTTGTAATCATCATCACCATTATTATTTCATTCATTGAGTATTTATGTCAGTAATAACTTGTTTTACCCGAGATATTAAATTACAGAAAATATTCAATGTTCCAGCATGTTTCATTGTATTAGGGTTTCAATTATACAGTCGTCATTTTCTTTTTACTAACAGTTCACGCAAAACAAGGCTGAAGAGCCACGCAAGGTAGCTCATTAAATAAAATTGTTTTATGAACGTAAGAGGATGAAGTAAGATCAACTGATTTGTTTTTCATGGCTGATCAACCATTCGCAAGTTATTTAAAACCAGAAAATATTTTTTTAGATTCTGAGGAGGATATTTTAGATAATAAAAATTTAGAATTGGTAGAATAACGATCGAACAGAGCCTGGCCTATGGCATCACGTCTGTGGAACAGTTGCTCTAGAGTTGAAAATAATTCATCACGAACGTGGCCACTTTTTAAACAAAAACATGGCAACAATACCCCTTTTTTTGGTTCTGATCTAGCTTTATAAAAAAAGCATCGTGTACTTCGGGAGCAGTTCTTTGGCGACGGATCGTACATATGAATTGAGGTCTGGTGAGAAGTGGAGTCAGATGCTCAAAACAACGAGCCTATTGAGAATAAAACCTTTCACCATGAGGTGCAACTGAGATATTGAATGTTACAAGCAGGTTTTTTCTTCTATTTGATCTGTTAGAGCTAGGCCAGTGGAGAGATCAGCTACCTGGCTCTGGTCATCTAGATTAATGGAGGTGCACCAACATACTGTTGTATAATCTGAATCCCTCTTTACCTGAGTGTAAGCAGATCGACAATATAAATCTTCTGCTTTATATTAACAGTTTGCCTAACAACATGAATAACTGGATAGAGAAGAGACATCTGGGAACCGCCTTTATTGATCCCAAGAGATTCAGAAAACTGGCCTTAGACATACCTGCTTAGAAGAACATGATAATTGTGTATACTCTTCCAGGGATCCCATAGCTGTAGGGTTTGTGTAGCAACCCTCTATGCCATATCATATCGAAAGCCTTTGATATACCTAAGGCGACTGCCATTTTGAAGGATTGTTGCCATTTCTCCACCTAATTTACACTTTCTTCGGACTGTTGCGATCAGTAATTTACTTGTATCGAATTTAAACTAGAGAGCGAGACGAGAAAACCTATCAGGATTTATTATCGGCGGGCATAATCTTAATTTAACTTGCGTTGATAAAAAAGTGTTGACGCCAGACTCCGAAATACCTTACATAACGTAATAAAGGAAAGAAAGAAGAAAGGACTATTAAAAGTAATAGTCTAGAAATCATGGTCGTCAAAGAGAAAAAAAAGGAGAGTCCCAAATGTAAGCTAAGTATAGAGGACGTCAGAATCGAGTAGGTATATATTTTCAACTAACTGGTTAACAATCGACGGGAAAATGTGACATTGAAATTCGGAGGTGCATAGAAATAACGAAACTCCACCGGCAACATACTTGAAGGAAAAAAAACTTGCATAATAGCCTCACCCACATGTAAAAATATAAAAAATAAATAAATGAATAATGGAAGCACAAATGATAAAGAACACGGCCACAATGTGCTGACCGTGTTTGGAAAAAAACAATGCCATCACTCTAGAAATATATATATATATATATATATATATATATATATATATATGTATGTGGGGGGGGCAGGATAAAAAATATACATACACGTACAAATACTTTCACGTACGTAGAAATATATTTTTCCTCAGGTGTTATAAAGACAGTGCTCAATGTTACTCCCTTGATATATTCTTTACTTTTGAATCCAAATTTAAATGATTTCAATTTTTTATTATTTATTTTTTTTAATTCTTCGCCTTTCGAACTTACTAGTGATATAAATTATTAATAGTTAATTCTAATATTTTTATGCAACAACAGCTAAATAAACAAGTTTTAACACATCATTTTGAATCATAACCACGAGAACATGAACTATATAACAGTCAGAGTATCTCCACACCTGAAGATTGCATAAACTGCATGAAACTCCTAGTCGTGCTATTATGTATATTCCTATATATATATATATATAAGACTTTAAGAATGAATGTTCATTCCGATACAAAATAGCAGTGATAAAAAATTTCCTAAAAAGATAACACCAGAATTCTCTCGTCTAATCATCCTTAAAGAACTCAACGCAAAACAGACATTAGTTAACAATGGCATTCCTAACCACATTATTGACCACCAAATTAGACTATTTCTTCACAAAGAAAATAATAACTATAGTGAACACACAATCAAAAATAACAAATATTTTCTATAAAAGCCAAATGCATGTAAACTACAAACAGGATGAATTTTCACTTAGAAATATCATAAAGAAATACCTACCCCAACTGAACCGAAAAAAAAAAAAAAAAAAAATCAAATTATCTACTACAAAAAATTTAAAACATCTAACTTTATCCTAAAAAAATAACCTAACAGCAAAATCAAGATAACAACGAACGAACATTTATGAGGTCAGATGTCCCTTAAAGAACTGTGTTCCTGATCAAACCGAATTCATAAATAATTACATCGGTCACATTACTACATGTCTGTCCAGACGCCTTACGTTACACCTATCCGGCCATAACTTCATTAGAACCCATCTAAACACCCACACAAATTTTTTATCCAAAACATA